AACTTTTGCGGACTTCCGGTGTCGGATTACGCATCAATTTCCTTATGCTTATGCGTTATGCTTTATGTAAAAGCTTGTGCTCTCGGCTTAACTCGAACTTGAATTATCGTAAACACCCTCGGCTAAAGATTTTAGGGATTTTTTGGTTAAATTTTCTAGGGACTTTTATCTAGTATCTTTCCAAAGTGGCTAGTCTAGAGAGAAAACGTTAGGATTCGCCCTCTAGTTGATGACATTTCTCCTTCGATCGATCTCTGTGATGTGTCGCAAAAGTAGAAAGGACGAAATCTTGTCGGTATTTCCGCGTGTTTTGGACAGTTCTCGCAAGTAAGCCTTATCAGGTTTTTTTATCGATCTGCCTGATTGACCGTTTCCTTTTCTAACAATTATACGCGGTGCAGATATTCGGTTTTTCAAAAAGAGAGACAAGGGTCACCACCTGCCACGCACTCGTGTGCAACTCAACGAAACGTGGCGACGATGTTGAGTCTGCCGAGGAATTTTTCAAGGGAGTGTATCACGTGTAAGATCAATTCTGCTTACAACCTTGAATGCCTAAGTAAAAAGTTCAAAGTGCACCCAGTGTGGGTCGAGTGAGACGCATAAGCGATCGCAAGTACGGGTGTGACAGACGCGGTCTCGCGAGCCAACAATGCGGTGCTGTTCCGTTATGGTGCTACGTGTCCTTCGTTCCGGCGCGTTCAAGGAATTCCTATGAGACGACCGGTCATTGTCAAGGTCATATACGATGTCAACACAGCTAAGCATGCAGGATAAGAAGGACTTGGAGAAGTTTACGAAGTACCTGGCACTAAGAGCCGCCCAGATTATCGTACAGTCGAGATCGGGCCAGAAAGTCAACACCACGTGCAGACCGGATTCTTCGGCCGGCGATTGGGTAAAAGTAAAGTTTGCTCTAGTCCGTGCAATTTGTTTGGTTTTATCCTGCTGCTCTTCGCTGCTCTGTTCAGGTCTATTTTATGTATTTCGATATTTTTAACAGCTAATGATTCTGTATAGATACTGTTGCAAATATATCTAAATTTTATTGTTCCAGTAATTGTTTTGAAACATTTATGCAATAAAAAAACAAATATATTTGATTAAAAAAATTAAAACATAAATCTTCTTGGAATTGAAATATACTAAACATGTATAAGAAATAAGTGAAATGAGAAAGAAACATATAGCAGGATTAATTCTCAATGTTTTGGTCTACACAGATAGTATCTTCGAGAGATTATAATTTCTACAAATTATATATTCAATACATTCATTTATACTTATTATTTATACTTTTTACTTATCTATTCAGTGTGACTAGAAATTTCTCTGCAATATTTCTTTCTGATTATCTTATTTTGATTATATTTTCATTATATTTGCAAATTATAAGAAAATAATAAATTTTTTGCTTAAATTTTGTGTAGAAACTATTATCTTTTAAAAAGAATTCTATCAGCAGACTAAAATATTGAATTGAATCAAATAAATTGTATAATCTGTACTGTTTACATTTATATGAATATGTTGTAATGCGTAAAGGAATTAAAATATGTTCATGTTTGATTCTGTAGTTTAATCTGGCAATAAAAGAACTACCGGATGTCTCAGCTGATGCTAAGAAGGCACTTTGTGGAGAGATAGTAAGTTCTACTGTACCTCTCTGCATAGAAATCTCTCTGAAAACAGTGGAAGGTGACAAGATGATTTTGGAAACTTGGAGCCTCGGCGTTTTGCCGGAACAGAGCGATTCGACAGTGCGAATAACGTATACTGTATATAACAGAATGGGGATCTTGTTAAAATCTTTGCTTTCCGTGTCAAGAGTCACACCTGCTTACAAACTGAGCAGGCGACAAGGACCCGACGCTTACACGATGTGCTATCGAATATATATGGGAGAGCCTCAGCTACATAACTTAGGTATAACTCGATTATTTAAGTCAAGAAGTTCAAAGTTGTCTTTTTATGCATAACAAATTGTGCAACAAATTGAAAAATCTTGAATGTACATCTGAATAAATTATAATACATATATTTTTTCTATATAGAATGTTGTATAGTGCTAATAAATATTATTTATTTCACAACAGGCGATAATTATAAACATGTAAGAGTAGGTCAATTGTGTACTCCAGTAGGTACCATACAATTATCAGTCTCTTACAGAACAAAAATGACCATATCACCCACTCATAAAGGACGTGATTCTATCATGCTTAAGAGTGATCATTTTCATTCGGATTTAAGTCCACGTCATGCACGGTATCAACAAAGGTCAGTGATAGCAATCCAAAGTCACGAAGCACACATTTTACAAAAACATTTAATTAAAAATATATATACATATTTTAATGTACTTTAAATCAAATTTATAGCGAGGAAACGTCGAAGTCTCTTAGCGATACCATCAAAGTTGGCGCATTTGTAATAAACAAGCCTGTCATCGTTAACGAGGAGGATCTGGTGATACCAGATGTACCATTCAGTTCCCTATTGACACCTAAACAAACGTCTCCTCCTCCGGTGTCACTAGTAGATCCTATAAATACAAAGACTGCAGCTACCGCAACCGATAGCAACAACGGAAATAACGAAAGACTTAGTAATGATAATACAACTTCAAAATGCGCCTCTCAAAACGGATCTAGAAGGAGTAGTTGTTCAATGACTAGTGCCAACGATGATTTTATTATGGTAGATTTGGTAATTGATGCTCCTAATCCAAAGTATCACAACAGTCATGATGTTACGTCTTACTGTGTGTGAAATTTGCGTAATACATGGAAATATTTCGCCTAATTATATGGAAATATTTTATATTTTGCATCGTAAGAAATTATTTAGTTTATTAACTTGAAGTTTACGCAATTGATATATTTGTATACATTTCTATACATATTCATACATATTCTATATACATATTCATGTACATTCTATACATATTTATTTCTATACATTAGGTGAAATATTTTTGCTTTTATTGACTGAACAAATTTCGCACTGTGTGTGTATGTGTGCAGAAAATGAATGTCGAATATTGTTACAGAAAACGCCTTTCGCAGTCACGAACACTAATAGCGACGTGGGAGCGTTTTATCGGGAATGTCAGAGCGCTCCGCAATTGCAAGCCTTCATGGAAGAAAGAACGCTTGCGGAACAACTGGGAGATCTTACGAAACAATTGGAAACATTCGAAACTAATATACAACACTACGAGGACATTCTGACATCATTGTGTCAGACCGAGAATAATAATTAAAGCTGAATTTTGCTGGTCTCTGCTTTCAAACAGAGACTCGATTATATTCACTGTTGCTATCGTGTTAAACATTAAAGTCTTTTTTTATCGCCTTGTCGTTTATATATAAGGACATTAATAAATTATTGTTTTTTGCATCGAGTAACGTTAAGACTTTTTCAACGTTGTAATCATGACATTTGAAAGATTTGAAGTCTTGAAACGATCGGTCTCTTTCAATACTCAGAATAAAACTGTTCGCTCAAGTGTTTTGCTAATATATATTATATATGTTGCATAAATTTTATGTAATATAATCAGCAGAGCAAACACTAGTTGTGATAATTGATTACTTAACATAATTTATTGCTTGTATAAAATGTAAATTGCACTTGAATACCATAAGATTTATCAATAAATATAAGTTGATTACATGAACATTTTTATTATTTTTCTTAGTGTCTTATTAATAAAACATGATTTTATTCACTTTAATCACTAAATATCCTTTGCAATATTTTCAAAATTTTTTTTGATTTTGCAAGCTACGTTATATTACAGGCAATTCGTAGATCTACTGTAGTACAGAAAAAAACTATTTGATCTAGAGATTTATTGGTTTTAATACATTTTAACTTTGCACTATAAATAAAAATATAATGTTTATTAAGTAAATGTATATTAAAATTTTGGAGCAGGAGATTCAAAAGAATAATATAATTTTAGTGAGTTTCTATTTTAATATAATTTATAGTAATTTGTCATGTTTTATATATTTGTGAATAAAACTAAAGATTATTCTTACATAATGTTCAAATGTCAAGGACATTTTTTATTTGAAAGAAGAAAAAGGAAAAAGAAACTAGAAAATGCAATAGAAATGGAACTTAATTAATGTGATAGTACCTTAAAGTAGGTAGTGGAAACGTTATATATGTATGCACATATATGACGTGACTGTGCAGACGGATCTCGTTCTTGAGGGTTACGCGCGACTTCCTCAAATTGAAAAATGAAACCCAAGGCGGAGTTGTCTAGTGAACCTACGTGGAATCAATTGCAACAGTACTTCAACAGCAATGGCTCGAAAATTAACATATACAGTATGTTCCAGCAAGACCCTAAACGCTTCGAAAAGTTTAGGTATGTTCTCGGTTCACCTTAAACGCGACCTTGACATGACCTTTCAAAAGTTCTTGCACTTACATAAAAGGTCATTGCATATGTGCTGAATATTTCACGATTATTTTGTTATATGTAGAATTTTTTAGTAAGTAAAAAAATTTTGTTTTCTAAATTGTCAGAAATATTGAGTGTAAAGCAATGATCTCTTACATTATAATTCTGAATGCAGCCCTTTAATTTTTGCGAAGTTGAATTAAAGTTTAAATTTACAAAAAAGTATGCATGAATAATTGTGGAGCTCTTTTATTAAATAGTTTGGAACTCGCTACTCCAGAAGATGGACCAATTTTGTTGGATTATTCCAAGAATAGGATTAACGAAGAAATACTTGGATTGTTATTCAACTTGGTATGAATTTGGTTTCGACTTTGTTTTAGTAATATTTATGAAGTTTTAATTTTACTATTTTATTCATGTATGAATCATTCTTAGGCACGTGCACGAGAAGTAGAAACTGCGAGAGATGCTATGTTCAATGGCGAGAAGATTAATTTCACAGAAAATAGAGCAGTTTTGCATATTGCTTTGCGTAACAGGAGCAATGCACCGGTATTAGTAGATGGAAAGGACGTAATGCCTGATGTCAATGCAGTGTTGGAGCACATGAAGAGTTTCACAAATGAGGTAAGTCTATCGATTGTTTCATTAGTGTGACATATCTTGATACATAATATATGTTCATCTGCAGGTATTGACGAAACAATGGAAAGGATTTACTGGCAAACCTATCGAAGATGTTGTCAATATCGGAATTGGTGGTTCTGACTTGGTAATTTGTACAAAAGTTTTTTCTTTTTGTTATAATTATTCTTATATTTAAGATATTTGATACTTATTTAAATTTCAACAGGGTCCGCTTATGGTAACTGAAGCTTTAAAAGCGTACAGCATTGGACCGAGGGTTCACTTCGTCAGCAATATAGATGGTACTCACATAGCCGAAACTCTCAAGAAACTTAATCCAGAGACAACCTTGTTCATAATAGCTTCCAAGACATTCACCACACAGGAAACTATTACCAACGCAACTACTGCCAAACAATGGCTGTTGAAGGCATTGAAAGATGTAAGCACATGAATCAAAAGTTAACGCACTACTTATGTTTGAATTCTGTCTGATATTGTTTTTTCTTGAAATTGTGTAGGATTCTGCAGTGGCCCGTCATTTTGTAGCATTGTCTACGAACGAACAAAAAGTTAAAGAATTTGGTATCAATGTGCAAAATATGTTTGGATTTTGGGATTGGGTTGGTGGACGTTACTCGCTGTGGTCAGCTATTGGCTTGTCGATTTGCCTGTCAATTGGCTTCGAGAATTTCGAGAAGCTTTTAAGTGGGGCTCACTTTGTGGATCAACATTTTTGCACAGCACCATTGGAGAAAAATGTAAATACACCGAGTATAAATAAACTAACAAAAATTAGGAATTAATTGAACAATTAAAAAATCATAATATATATTTAAAAACTCGTGTTTTCTGAGTAATTTTTATATTTTTCTATCAGCGCGTCAAGTTTATATTTGTATTCCAACTTGGAAAAGTTAATTGACTTAATTGAGCTTTCAATAATCTATTTTCCAATATTTTCAGATACCTGTTATATTGGCTTTGCTCGGCGTATGGTATCAAAATTTTTACAAGGCTGAAACGCACGCACTATTACCGTATGATCAATATCTACATAGATTTGCCGCTTACTTTCAACAAGGCGATATGGAAAGTAATGGAAAATATGTTACTCGTTCCGGGAAGACTGTAAATTATTCCACTGGTATGTCTTACAATATGTATGAGATATGAATTCTAAACTAATTGAAACTTGTTATTCTTAGGACCGATCGTTTGGGGAGAGCCAGGCACTAATGGACAACATGCGTTTTATCAATTGTTGCACCAAGGTACAAAACTTGTGCCAGCAGATTTCATAATTCCCGTTCAGACTCAAAATCAGGTAACGCTGCAATTTTTCATAGCGTCGCTTTTTGCCTGTTATTACTCATTTACTTATAAAAGTGTTTACTTGCTGCAGATTCCTCCGCATCATACAATTTTACTTGCTAATTTCTTTGCGCAAACGGAAGCTTTAATGAAAGGCAAAAACGAGAACGAGGCTCGAGCTGAATTGCAAAAATCGGGACTGAGCGCTGAAAAAGTGGACGCGCTGTTACCGCATAAAATATTTGAAGGAAACAGACCAACAAACAGCATTGTAATAAAGAAATTAACACCCTTCATTCTTGGTGCTTTGATTGGTAAATATCTTATTATTAATCTATCTAAATCATACAGTTACCAACAACGTTAATCTTTATTTAAAAAAAAAAAACAAATATTAATATAATGCATACTATTTTCATATTTTGAAATTATTTTCTAAAATTCAATTAGTTGAAAAAAATTTATTTCACATATTTTATCTGTTTTTTTACAAGGAATAATCTCATTATTTGTATCATGATTTATTGAATACTATATTCTAAGCATAATCGTGTAAATAATAATTATAAATTTTTATTTTTGTTCTTTTTTAGCGCTGTACGAACATAAAATCTTTGTACAGGGCATAATTTGGGACATAAACTCTTATGACCAGTGGGGGTAAGAAAACTCATTGTATTTCGAAATCTAAATTCTTTTGCTAATAGATAGAAATATGACCATTTAAAATTAATGTTTTTGTATACAGTGTGGAGCTGGGAAAACAGTTGGCTAAAGCCATTGAACCAGAGTTGGCGAGTGCAGAAACTATCACAACGCATGATTCGTCGACTAACGGCCTGATAGCATTCGCTAAACGTCATAAAGTCTAAAATACTTACTTAGTGACGCACTCTGTCATAAATTGTTCAAAAAAAGGTATAGCCAAGTATAAATAGTTCCAAGTTGCATTATCGTATCAGAGTTTAATGTATATAATCTATATAATTGATGAAAAATTTGCGATAGCCAAAAAAATTTACAATTTGACATTTTTATTCCAAGTTTCTGATCTCTCGCTGCAACAATATTGGATCGTGACGTTAGTACGAATTATAATATGCAAAAGAAAATTTATTTATACAGAGTGTCCGGTAATTGCTAGATCAACTCGTGGGTGTAGGTAGAGCGGGTTAAACCGAGTAAAAGAGTCCTCTATTTTGCGATCTTCAATAATTAATGTGGAATGAGTTTAAAAATATCTACCAATTTGCGCAAGTTTAAGCGCGAGAAGAGACCCATGGCGGTCCACTGTTATTTGGTTACTAGGCGCGCAATGAAGCGTTAGGAGGAGCGTTCTACAAATGTCAACGGCAACATACGAGCGGTGCGTAAGGCTAGATCCTTGCGTCCTAGCGATCACGTAACAATGGGCTGTCTCTTCTCGCCGCGCGCTTAGATTCGCGCAAATTAGCCAATCTTTAATTAATTTCTCATTAATTATTACGGAAATCGCAAAACGGTAGAGGACTTTTCTACTCGGTTCTACCCGCACTACCTGCATCCAAGAGGCGATTTAGCAATTACCGGACACCCTGTATATAGCGTATGTATATAGTATATATAGCACAAAGAAATTTACATGATTATACGATTTCTCGTCATTAATATCAATTCGATACGACTGCAGTGAATCAGAAAATTTAATTATGAAAATGACTCGAGATCATGTTTAACTCGTTAAATTATATTTAATCTAATCTGGAACGTCTCTTGTACACTTAGAGATGTAGATGGTACTATTAATCCGGATAATATAAAAGTTATTTGGGTGAAATATTGTAAAATCAATAATGCATTACAATATAATATTACCTCAGCAGAACATTCGATGTTTCTTTTGATTGTCTTTAAAGGTTTTTAGATATTTATTTTTGTATACATTTACTCGAATAAACGTTCTTTTAATATTCCTATATATCTTCTGCAGTTTTTGAAGATACACTCCGCGGACCGCCACTTCCACCACCTCTTGTCGTTTCTGTGTTCCTGATACCTACTCTCCTAATACCGATCATTTTGGACTATAGATTGTAGACAGCAATAACTACGATTGTTGGTTTTTTTACATCAAATCTGCCCTTGTCGATTTCTGTAATCTTCCAAAGTAACTACGGCGTAATGTTAAATATTTCTAGAGGATTATCAAAGTTTAACAAGATACAAAAAGTTAATTAGAGGTAAGCCGTTAATTAAATATTAAGTTTCAAATCTCCAATTTCCGACAGATGTAAACTACAATCTCTTCGTACATTCGATTTCGGATCGATTTTAATGGAATTAAAAGGATGAAATTTAAAAATATAATTTACTTATTTAAGTTTGATAAGAGACTGTTAATATTTAAAATATAAAAATCAATTGAAAGTAAGCCGATAATTAAATATTAAGTGTTGATTATCAAATTTAATTGTTGCAGAAGAATTCCGAAACAATTCACATAGCTTTTTTAAGATTTCTAAAAGATTGCAAATGTTTTAAACATTATACAAGCGAAAGTAAGCCGCTAATAAAATATTAAGAGTCGAATATTTCGAGCTTTAAAGAATCGATTCTCTAATGCTTTCCGTGAATCTACGTCGATTATGCTAATTCAATGCGGAACGAATGCTCTTAGAATAAGAAGTATATAATGGATTATTCTATAATAATTAATTGTAAATTATTTAATTTATGCACCAGGGTTATTTTGTTCATCTACTACTTTTTACTACATTTTACCACTTTTATTGAATGCAAGTGTGAATATTTTGAAAATTGAAATTATCTTTATACTTATATTTCTTTCTCAAATGCATGTTGTTTTAGATAAATTTCCGTCGCCTTTTGATTTCTTTTTGTATAATCTGTCGTCAGTACACATAATTAATTGATAATGTGTTACAGGAAATATCCAACTTCACCCTTATCTTATGAAGCCACTGTAGCGCCAGCATCGCTGGCGTTGTAGCACACTCGGGGATGATTGAAACAGCAGTCGCAGCCGTTCCATCGACGAGGTCGGATGTCATCCGTTTAGTGCGCGAAAGACAAAGATACGAACGATTAAATTTAAGAAACTAGGACACAGCTCGTCGTCTTATCCGGGACTGCACGCGGGGCGAGCGCCGCAGAAAAGAAAAGTGGAGCGATTCCGATTAATTGCATGAAAGATGAACGAAATCGGTTGGGTGGCACTTTAAATCGTACGTGCGAACGTGTGGAAAAGTCGCGTGTAATACTGCTGGTCGCGTATCGGTCGAGTGCGATGCGACATCGAAAATCTAACAACTGAAGTGGTTACTGAAGTGTGAGTGAAGTGCCGTGGAGTGGCGTGTAGTAACGTTTAACGAACCGGGACGAGAGAAGGAACAAAAACTATGTAGTAGGGCAAAATGGTAATTAGTTTTTAGAATCGGGTAGTGATAACACGTGTTATCGCACTACCCGATTCTAAAAACTAATTGCTAGGAGGAGAGGTGGAGGAAGAGGGACAGGGGACAAGCTGCATGCACGCAGGAGCTACTACAGGCCGCTGCTGCTCGCGCTGTGTCTTCTGGCGTGGCCCCTGCTGTGCTCGACTAGTCCCTCGGATCACCTCGTCTCCACCTTCGCACGAAACCCGACCTTCTCGGACTCCGTGCAACGGGAGGAGCCCAAGTCGTCGAACGCGCGGCCGAACGTGGACGAGCTCCAGTACGAGCAGAGCGGTGACCGTAGCCACGGCCAGTACCAGTATCACCAGCCGGAGAAGAAGCCCGTTCATCCGTACGTCGAATATTCCTGGGGACTGAATCAGATTAATCCCTGGCTGTCGGCCTGCGATCTGGCGGGGCCAGAGCCGGAGGACCTCCGCGGCAACTGCGACCCGGTGGACATATCCAGGCACTGCCCGACGCCGTGTAAGAATACGAAAACGTCGCGTTCGCGGCGCGAGGCGATCGAGAGGGCGGGGTTCGGCGACGCGAAAACTAGGACGACGTCGCGGACGAGGCGTGGAAGCGGGAACGAGGAGAAGGCAGGTGTGCGGACGGACCAGTGTTTTTTGTACCTCGACGAGTCGCACAAGAGGAACATTTGCCTGAGCGCCGGCTCGAGGAAGATCCGATTCGAGCGTCTGAGGAAGCTGCGTCTGCGGCACTGCTGCGAGCACGTGGTGGTCAACGCCCTGGCGCCGGGGAAAGACGGTCCGCTCGAGGACGTGCTCGACGGCGGCTGGAGATGCGAGAACGCCTTGGAGAAGCTCCTCGTCGTCGACGCCATGGCCGCGAGACTGCACTGCGAATTCGAGGAGATAATGCGACGCTTTGACTGCCGCCAGACGTATTCTGTCGTCCACACCTGCTCGCATTGCAGGGTGAGTCTCAGCATTTTTCTCACTCTCTTAATGCACGGAGAGGGTTGTCCAGACCCTCGAGCATGATTCATCCGCTTTGCACGCGCTGCCGCAAACGAAAGTAGAGCGACACACGCATAATTCGCTCGAGCTCGGGCATTTGAGGATTTTAATAGCGCGACTCGAGAATAGCAGCATTCTACGTCCGACAATTTTTACATTTTGCAAAATGTTTGCTGCTTCGAGAAATCTTATCGTGAAAATCCTTTTCACATTGTATTCTCTGTCAGAGTTTGCATTCGTATTTCATTGAAATTCATGATTCATGAAATTGATTTCATGGCATTTTCCAAATAAACGATCCGCGCGCGATTCGTATGCGGTAATTTGTGAGCAATTGAGCAATTAGTGCGCATGTTAATTTGCTCGTCGACTAGAAGGCGAAAGAGTTTTGCGTGATACATCGCAGCGCAACCTTCGGCGCGAGCCAAGTTGTTGAAAATTCTTGTAGACCACTTTCGGAAGTTTATGATCACGCAATACCACGTTTAATGTAGAGCACAGTAAATTTACTCGCAGCATCTCCTCAAGTTGTCAGTTTTCTTACCGTAGCTAAGGAAAGTAAAGAGTAAACGGTTTCGCGGTGCTTCACGCCATTCGGCTTTATTCAGTGAACGCGCGAATTATGCGAAACGTTACGTATCACAATCCAACGCGTTCATTAAGTTTCATAATCTGAATATCCAGCGCAGATCTCGCGGATAACGTAAGTTTCCGCCAATGTTTCTAAACGCGCGTAGATTTCTGCGTGTGCATTTATCTTCAGGACACATAAATCTCGAAATACACGGAGTCGCGCAGTCACGCTTTAAATTGAATAAAATAAATTTAAGAGATATAAGAAAGTAATATCAAAGAATGCTTTCCAGCAAGAAGAAGCACAAATCGGCTTCTGAAACGGTTTTCATAATCCGATTTTATATTCAAAATTGTCTCAAGTGTAGTCTCAATTTTACAATCGCAATTCGTCATTTAATGAAGTTATTTGTTCGCATTAAATCATTTCGAATTAAAGTAATTTGCTTACTTGGCAATTACAAATTTGAAACTAAAATCGATGTCGAAAAGCTAATATGAAATTGTGAGAACCATTCCAGAAGTCGATCGTGTTCTAGAAAACGCGCAAGATCCTCCCTTCGATTTTTATAATATATTGATAACCCTCTCGCGCGCGTAATTTCCGAGGGTCCTTAACGGCAGCGAAACGAATTACTTGTCTCACGCTGTCGATAGACGTCCCGGCGTTTACGACGCACGGGACTAATTTCCAGGCGACGAGAATGGTAAATCGTAGGCGTGCGCCTTGGAAAGCGAGCACATTGTCATTGTCGTCGGCGTCGAAGGAGTTAACGAACAGGTGTTTCTCCCTCATCCGGCCGACACTAATGTCGCATAAATTGCCGCTTAGCGATCGCGGCCCGGTTCATTCAGCAGCCGTCAAAACTATTTCCAGACAAGAGTACGTCCATCTTTCTCCGCTTTCCCACATTGTTCGCGTTATCGTTGTCGACACTTGTGCACAAAAGCGCCGGAGTTCGTGCAAACTCACAATGAGCGGCAATACGAGCGCGCATTATTCGTTCGCAGTTGCGATTTACGTGAGAATAATGCCGCGCGACCAGCGAACCAATCATTCATCATCGATATCATATGATCACTCCACTCTTCGCGTCCTCGTTCATTTCGGCGTGAACTTCAATTTGTAGTTTTACCGCGCGCGAGCGCAATCGCGAATGGAAACGGTGCGGTTTGTCGAATCGCGCTCGCCTCTTCAATTGCGCTCGATTAAATTAATTCGTCCTGTCGCGAATACAACAAAACTGCCGATATAATTATTTGGGCCAAACATATATGCGACGTGCGAAGAGAAAAATGATCACGCGAAAGAAATGAATCGCGCGTATTCGACGTGTTTGTTCGCTTTAATTTACATCCCGATATTCGGATATTATTATAAAAATATTATGCGGAGCGTTTGCAGCGAACGCAATATCCCTGTCTGTTTAATTCACTTTGTCCGCAACGTGAAATCGAGACGTGGATTAATTTTATTAGTTTCGAAATTAGTTTCGGACATCGCATCGCTATTGGCAAACTGCATTGCGACGTGTGCAGAATGCGTTCGTGGTAAACGAATTCCCTCACAATCAGTGCTAATAACCGTTTTTAGCGTTGGCTCTTAAAAATGGATTTAATTTATCGCCGGCGTTTCTTCTTCTTACTTCTCCTTCCTTGTCCCGTTTCCTCTTCTCGCCGAGCGAGATGATCTTATTTCCTGCGGCCGGCGTGCCAAGTGAATTTCGCCAGATTTGCCTGCGCCGACGTTCCTGCAAAACACAGTTTAGCTAACGAGATTCAATCGCGTTAATTGTTTATTGCGTTATTTTTGGCGTGAATGAAACATCTCCGATTGCGCGAGAATGATATCAATTGTTTCGTAACAAGGTGTTATAAAATTGGTTGGGAAATGGATACAATTATTTTACAAAGAGCAAAGTTAATTTCATTCAACAACGTTATTTTTGCTCGTATTTTTTACTCTTTGTTATATTATCTATATTTTACGTGAAAAGCATGCGTACTTGCGACTCTCAGTTTTTTCGTCATTATTTGATTATTATAATATTTAGTTTTTCGTATAGAATGTGAATAATAATGCTTTCACGGGATAAATATCGTTAACGTGCACGTTCATTAATCACGCCGCGTTCAGCGCGCATGGAAAGTGACGAAATTGTTTACAGGCGACTGTACTTTCGTATATTACACTCGGCAAGGCGCTCGCAGGACGACATTAATAAAGCTCGCTCCCGCTGCCTTTTCATCCTCATTCTCGTTTTGCAGAAGCCGCTCAGCGACGATAGAGAGAGAGAGAGGGAGAGAGAGAGAGAGAGAGAGAGAGAGAGAGAGAGAGAGAGAGAGAGAGAGAGAGAGAGAGACGACGACGAACCGGA